AAATGTCACAATATCTTAATATTAAGGACACAATTGTGGGACAAATTTATATCGGCAAGTTGTTTGCCCACACGCATTAGGTAAAGGTTACTGGAGCATTACAAAACGATTTATAATACAATTAGTTTATTATATTATTGATTGTGTCACCTCATAGGCATGTTGACATTACAGTAAACGAGTTTGGAGCAAACCTCTAAAACCTGGATCTATTTTACGTATCTGTTGAATGAAAACGTAAGAACGTGTTTTAAAATTTACGTGTCAGCCATCGATTAAAATAGAGAAATGGCTTTTATAACTCTATCGACCAAACAAATCAAGCAATTCTGGTCAGTAGTACATCAATGACTAAATAGAAAGTACCTGGGTGACTGAATTTCGCTCGTCGTTAGAATTTTTTTAAGTTTAATTATTTCTGTTAAAATAATCTAGCTAAAGTTATAAAGAATAAACGTTATCTAAATACGAAATTTTATCCATATTATAATTTTAAATTTAAAACTGCATGCATGGCAAGGCCCCAGTGACGCCAGGCCTATTCCCGCGTGAATTTTTAAGGGTAACTAATTGTAAATTAGTTGATCCTAGAAAAATACAAGGCATGTAAAAATGAATATTAAATTGTTGATATTGGTTGTATGTATCACATTTTAAAATTGATGTAGAGCCATTAACATTAAATTAACGATGTTTGAATAACTCTAGTTCGATCCAAGATACCATTAATCATAACAGCAATATAAGTGGAAATTGCCACTTTCTCGTAATAATAAAAAAAGAACTCCGCAGAAAACATATTTCGAGAACTTGTCAAGCCCGCCAAGATGTGCCGCAAACGAGCAGCGTGACAGATCGTTCCACGCTCCGTTATTCTGTCCAAAATAAAATATTGTGCCTTGTCTATCGAAGTATATTTTTATTTATTTACTACCTTTTTACCCGCGATTTCATTCATAAAGAATTAAGCTAACACTCATAAATTTGTTGTAAAATGTTGGTAAATAAAAAAAATAAAAATCAATTTTAAATTAAAACTTTTTTTGTGTAAATTCGTAAATAGAAAAATTTTATTCAAAGTTTTTTTAGTTTACTTTTACAGCTTATGACATAATCAACTAAAACCATTTATTTCATCAGTTTTTTGATTTTCCAAAAAAGTTCTTCATGCTGTCCTGATCAAGTACAGCCTGAATCCTGACATTGCTTTCTATCGGTTTGTGAAGTTTAATACAATTGGTTTAGCTATTAGGTTAGTCCAGACATACAGACGGACAAAAATTTTAACAATTATTTTAAAGAGCTTATTATAAGTTATTTCGATAAAATAGATAGTAGATAATATGAGAAAAGTAACCAAGATTATGGATAATTAATTGTAAATTAACCATAAATATTTCTGATTTAAGCAATTAAAAGGGCCGAACGTATTTAGGGCGGAGCCTAGAGTAGTCATCTTATTACAGACAGATTTTTTTATTGTTTATTTCTAATTGCAGATTCTGATTAAAATTAGCACAATGTTTGTAGGTAAATAGTACATCGACTTTTATGTCTCTGGTTGTATTTTCATTGGAATAAAAATAGAGATTTTTCTAATAACTCTATCTCCCTCTATTCTATAACTTAGCCTCTGTAAAACCTAAACTGTTATTATTATAATTCTAATAACTGTATAATACCAATATCGATTATATAAAAATTCTGATAAGTCATTACTAACCAACCAAAATTAACAAGCATTAAAATATACCCTACGAGATAGAGACGGAAGTGTTACCTTATGTGACAAGATGTAGAGAACTAGAAAGCCTAAAGCACGCAGCGTTTTAGTAAAATCCGTAACAAATAAAGTAAGTCTGGGGATAGACCTCAGCAGAGAGCGTTTTGCAGAGCGTGCAGTGGCGTCACGACAAACACATGTCGCTTTTCATTTATATACGTAATAAGTACTTTTAATTTACTTTTATGTAATTTTAATGTTTAAACTGTTATATGTTTGCATTTATTTTATTTACAGTATTGCTTACTCTTTTATAAAATGTTCATATTGCGCTCATTATTACCTTTTCAAAATGATAATGTTTTAAATGAAATAAGGCAATTTATTACTTTAGAAACCTTAGTATGTCCAACTTAAATAAATTTAAAGAGAACCGTATTTTTTGTTCCATCGCCCTCAATCAAAATACACAACGTTGTACACAGAGGCACAATCTCTAGATGGACACTGCCAACAAAACGCACCATCCGATCTCACTACAATACCACTGGCACACGCGCTTAACGGAAAAATAAATGGAATAACAACGGTAAAACTTGTACACTTCAGTAATAAGAACAAAACAAAATCGATTCGAACGGATCTTGTCTATAACTTCTTGTTTTAGGACTTTACTCAAATTTAGCTCACAAACACCTGTTATGCGGTTAGTGTGGGTCATTTATCCTATGGCATTAAACGAGTGCCTCTCGCGGGGGCCGGCCGAAGACTGCCCGGCCCGCGATTGTTTACTGCCGGTCGCGCGTCAACTCTACAAAGAACCTTCTTGTACACTTGTATTTTGTACGGGTTGTTAAATACGCCGCACTTGTGGACACGCATGCCGTTGTCTCTGAGAGGAATTTAAGTTGTAATATTTATTTGCTAATTTCAAAGTTGCAAGGTATAAACTTCTAGTACCTGCTGAAAATAAAGTATCGTAACACAGACCTTACATTAATGAAAAAGTACACATGTTTTAAGTTTAAGTAAAGTATCGATATAATTTCAGTGAGCCGGTTAAATTCACATAATTATTACTTTTGTTGACATTTTTCTGAATATTTATATACTTCCTAAAGGTTTCATACCTCAACAAAAATCCAAGCCTTTACAGAATCACTTGTATGTTCGTACATCTGTCCGTCTGTCTACTACCTTTTTTAGGGAACGGTTTATCAACTGAAATTGAAATTCAATATTAAGAGCTACGGTCCCATAGAGATGTAAATAATTAAACCTCTAACTTCTAGTCAATGCAATTAAAACATACTGGCATTTACATTACATATTTAAGTTTTATCTTATTAAAACTTATGGGGTTATTTTTGAGTACCTAGAATTATGAAATGTGCCAAGAAGCAAAGTCTCACAGTACAAGCAAAGAAAAAAATCTCGTTATAATAAAAGTATGTCTTTAAACAAATTTACATTAACAATTGAAGCATTGACGCTGATGTATATCGATGTATGGAAGAACAATTTTTCCACTGCAAAATGAAGTTTGTCTGTATGATTTACTTTTCGTTAAAAACTTAGGTAAGTACCAACACTTAATTAAGTTTATACGAATTCTCAGGAGTCGAGTACTCTTCACATTTATCCGGTTTTTTATTTTTTATTCTTCATACTTCTATTTTTATTGCAAAGTTAATATGAAGCTATATTTACTAATTTATCACCGTTTAATATAGTATGAATGTACTTATTTTGTGTTTTAAGTTGCATCTTACTTTAAGGTCTATGTCAATTGATCTTTGACATAATAGTGTAGAAGAAGCGGCGCGGCTCAGGCATTCCGAACTAAATCGTCCGCTGGAGAAAGTAAAATCTACCAACACAAGCCATTCACATGCACATGTCAAGAAAGCAATTCCAACTCTGATTCAATAATGTCATGGTCGACTTACGTGTAAAATCTTCAAATTTATCTTCAATAGCAATCCTACTTTATTGAGTTTTTATTTTATGTCATATGCAGATGTGAATTTATTGGTATAATAAGTATGACAAAATATATTTACAGATCTAAAATCAAAGTCAATTCAAAAATTATTATTCATGAACTTTGAAACAGAATAAGCTACAGTATGTAAAGCTATTTTAAGTAAAGTAAAAAAGTTATGTTGATTGTGATCCTTTTACTTATGTACAAACAAAAAAATATATAAATAGCATGTTCCTTTATGCGGTTTATATATTTTTTTATATATATACAACATATTATCGTATAGTATCGATGCTGACGGGAATCTTTTTTATTTTTTATAGAATAAGGGTAACAAAAGAGCACACAGTCCAGCTGATGATAAGTGGATGCTGTGGCCCATAAATATATACATTTATCCTTAATTACGAATCAAAACGCAGATGAACTGTCACTGGGCTGAGATGGAATGCCTCGTTTCCAGTAAAAAAGGGTCTCCGGATCTTTACATTCACCATACGAATCACAGCAGTATTAAGCTGCTATATTAGGCTGGTATTTTGTAAGAGCGTGGTCCTTCCCGGACCGTTAACCGTAATATAGCTGCAGCGTGGCTCTACCACGTATATATACAGACTGTGTGGCCAGGAACATCGCAATATTACTTCAGATTCAATAGACACCTAACGCTCGCAAAAAGAAAATGATTTTCCTACAAAGGGTGATTAGCAAGACTATTGAAATCAAAAAATATCCTGGTTTCAATAGTATAGACTGTATGCTACCATCTGCTTGAGATCTCATAATTAATAAAATTAAGTTCAAACCCAAGCACACCACCGCAAGACTCAAAGTACTCGTAACTACAAGCTCCATGTACGTAGATTGAGCTGAAAAATAATGATTAAAAGCTAAAGTTAGCCCAAGTTAACTTTGACAACGTCAAATTCCTAAGTCAGCCACCCAGCGACCGTGAATGAATTTCAGTTCAAAGTAAAAATTCAATTCTTCTTCTTTTAAAAAAAGGTTATCTCAGTATTCCGATATATCCTGTTACGTGCCACGAAACAATTATTTTTAGGCCATAAAAATGTTGATGATATATTAAAAATAACCCCGTATATGACGTTTAAATCATAATTTGAATAACTACTAGAATTGAAATAATACTAATTTTTACGGAATTTATCGCGTATATTTAACTTTTTTACCCGACGTTTCGAGAGCTTTACAGCACCCATGGTCACGGGAAGGACTGAGATGTTCAACGTCCAGCTGTCATAGTTAACCGCGGTTACCATAGATTAAAATTTAACTTTTGTTCCGATCTACACAGTATGAACTTATGGTATCATGGAGTCTTGCAGTTGTATGCTTGGGTTGGGATTTAATTTTATTTATTATAGGATCCCAAGCAGATGGTAGCACCCAGCCATCTTCTCTATTGAAATTAAGATGTTTTTTGATTTCAATAGCCTCGCGAATCATCCTTGGAAGGAATCGGTGTTCTTTAGCGAGGATTTGTGGTCTATCAAATCTGATGTAGTGACGGGGGCGATCCTGTACATGTTCACAGACTGCAGACTTCCCGGAGCGTCGATTCTTCACATCAGCTATATGTTCTTTGACGCGGGTTTTAATTGATCTTTTAGTTTGTCCTATGTAGGAGAGACCACATTCACAATCAAGCTTGTACACTCCTGCATCTTGCAGAGGGACGTTACACTTGACTGATGGTAAAAACTGACCAATCTTCTTCGGCGGCTTGAAGTATGTTTTGATGGAAGCGCGCTTCAAGATGTAGCCAATCTTGTCAGTGACTCCTCTAACATACGGCAGTACAGCAGGTACACGCTCGACTGTGGCCGGCTTCACTCGTTCTCTGTGACGTAGGCGCGGGACCCGAAGCTTGTTGTCATGCAAAACTTGCTTGACATGTTGGAGCTCGGCAGCCAGGTGTTTTCTGTCACAGATCCCTCGTGCTCTCTGAAACAAAGATTTACCCACGGTAGCTAACTGTGAAGGATGGTGGTAAGAATCACCGTTTAAATATCTATCTGTATGGGTCTTTTTTCTATACACAGTATGGCTCAAGGTGTTATCAGGATTCCGAATTACTAACACATCTAGAAAAGCTAAGGAATTGTTTGCCTCTAACTCCATTGTGAACTGAATTTTAGTATTTATAGAGTTAAGATGGTCTAAAAATGCAGTTACTTTATCTAAAGGTAGAATTGTGAAAGTGTCATCTACGTACCGCTTGTAGAATCTTGGATTTATGGGAGAAGTAAGCAGGGCTTTCTCCTCAAAGTCTTCCATGAATATGTCGGCGACAATGGGAGATACAGGTGAGCCCATCGCCACACCATCTACTTGCTTGTAGAACTCCTCCTTCCACAATAGGTAGCCAGATGTAAGGCAGTGTCTGAGTAATACTGCATATTCTACGGGCATGTTGTTTTCTTCCAGCCTTCTAGTTACAATTGAGATGCAGTCTTCAACAGGTAAGCATGTAAACAATGACTGCACATCAAAACTGACCATAGTTTCATTGTCTGCCAGACGTAGGTCTTTAATCTCGCTGACAAAACGGTAGGAATCCTTTATGTGTGCTCTTGTATGTCCTCTGGGAAGATTCGGTGTAGGCACTGAACATCGACGTAACATAGACGAAATGTCTTGTCAAAAATACACAAGCCCAATGCTCCATTACGCCCCATAGTGAGCCAAATCGATTCACCAACTTACAGATTGGCTCAACACTTAGCGAAAATACTCTCACCGCTCAGGGGACATACAAGAGCACACATAAAGGATTCCTACCATTTTGTCAGCGAGATTAAAGACCTACGTCTGGCAGACAATGAAACTATGGTCAGTTTTGATGTGCAGTCATTGTTTACATGCTTACCTGTTGAAGACTGCATCTCAATTGTAACTAGAAGGCTGGAAGAAAACAACATGCCCGTAGAATATGCAGTATTACTCAGACACTGCCTTACATCTGGCTACCTATTGTGGAAGGAGGAGTTCTACAAGCAAGTAGATGGTGTGGCGATGGGCTCACCTGTATCTCCCATTGTCGCCGACATATTCATGGAAGACTTTGAGGAGAAAGCCCTGCTTACTTCTCCCATAAATCCAAGATTCTACAAGCGGTACGTAGACGACACTTTCACAATTCTACCTTTAGATAAAGTAACTGCATTTTTAGACCATATTAACTCTATAAATACTAAAATTCAGTTCACAATGGAGTTAGAGGCAAACAATTCCTTAGCTTTTCTAGATGTGTTAGTAATTCGGAATCCTGATAACACCTTGAGCCATAGTGTGTATAGAAAAAAGACCCATACAGATAGATATTTAAACGGTGATTCTCACCACCATCCTTCACAGTTAGCTACCGTGGGTAAATCTTTGTTTCAGAGAGCACGAGGGATCTGTGACAGTAAACACCTGGCTGCCGAGCTCCAACACGTCAAGCAAGTTTTGCATGACAACAAGCTTCGGGTCCCGCGCCTACGTCACAGAGAACGAGTGAAGCCGGCCACAGTCGAGCGTGTACCTGCTGTACTGCCGTATGTTAGAGGAGTCACTGACAAGATTGGCTACATCTTGAAGCGCGCTTCCATCAAAACATACTTCAAGCCGCCGAAGAAGATTGGTCAGTTTTTACCATCAGTCAAGTGTAACGTCCCTCTGCAAGATGCAGGAGTGTACAAGCTTGATTGTGAATGTGGTCTCTCCTACATAGGACAAACTAAAAGATCAATTAAAACCCGCGTCAAAGAACATATAGCTGATGTGAAGAATCGACGCTCCGGGAAGTCTGCAGTCTGTGAACATGTACAGGATCGCCCCCGTCACTACATCAGATTTGATAGACCACAAATCCTCGCTAAAGAACACCGATTCCTTCCAAGGATGATTCGCGAGGCTATTGAAATCAAAAAACATCCTAATTTCAATAGAGAAGATGGCTGGGTGCTACCATCTGCTTGGGATCCTATAATAAATAAAATTAAATCCCAACCCAAGCATACAACTGCAAGACTCCATGATACCATAAGTTCATACTGTGTAGATCGGAACAAAAGTTAAATTTTAATCTATGGTAACCGCGGTTAACTATGACAGCTGGACGTTGAACATCTCAGTCCTTCCCGTGACCATGGGTGCTGTAAAGCTCTCGAAACGTCGGGTAAAAAAAGTTAAATATACGCGATAAATTCCGTAAAAATTAGTATTATTTCAATGTGTAGTGTTCGCGTAAATATAAGAAATCATTAAGTACTAGAAATTTGCACATTGTATTTATTTTAATAATCCGTAATTTTCACGGCTAAGAAAAGACTTCAACGAGTTATAAAAATTTTTTTGTTATATTTTAAATAAATTTTTGCCCAATCGTACATTTTTAGGGGTAAGGCCTATAGGCCGGGAAAAGGACTTGTGAAAGGCTGTAATAATGATACTAATTTATATTAATATTATTTTCTTTCTTCATTCATTAAAAAATGTTCGTTTTGCAAATTTATTAAAGTTAATCAATTTCTTTAAATATTTAATAATAAATGACTAAGGCCTAAGGCTAAATAATCATATTAGCCTACTTTTCATGCATAAGTGCTAAGAAAGTATGCTGTTTCATTGATCTCCATCGGCGGTGGTAATCAGTTGTGGACACATTTGCTTCAGAAGTTACAATGTCCGTTCAACTTTTTTATTTGTAAAGAAATGGTATTAATTACTGAAAAGCATGCTTTCCTATAACTGCAATTCATTATGTGACTTATTAACATTCAAAAATTACTATCTAGGTTGAGTGAAAAACGAGCACACAGACGACCTGATGATAAGTGGATGTTATGATCTATAAACAGCCACATCTATGCTCCATTAAGCATTGTAATAATACAGGATTATTTTAGGATTTTCGTTGCGGTATATATTTAGATTGTTTATATATATATATATATATATATATATATATATATATATATATATATATATTGTTTGTTTGTTTATTGATGCAAACAAGTAGCCATAACCAGAATATTTCAGACACCTTTTATAGCGTCATTAACTATTATATCTCTAGTAATTCTGTCAATATTTTTTTATGTATTGCAGCCTATCAAAAGTCAACTGCTGAACATAAGCCTATCCCATAGATTGCCCCATGGTATGGGGGAGATGTTTGCTATAGTTGTCATGCTTGCTTAGCGGGAGGGAGACCGCAGTTTTATATTATTTTGAGTTGTAATCTAGAAGGTGCTGCTGCCCATTACCTGTTTTAGTTTCCCTCTGTCACGTCTTGCAATTCAAATGGAATAATATGTGAAAGTGGATTCACATACGCTGCTATAACATTGCAAAATTAAGATTCTGTGAAATAGTATAAAACAATAAAAAGACTCGCGTGTACCTAGAAATTAAACGTGAGCATGGCATATTTATTGTCATGCTCACGTTTGATTTCTAGGTGCACGCGAGTCTGCACATAAATAAACATAAAAATTTAGACGTGAAAGGGAACTGTAACTGATAGCTGTGTTTTTACTTTCTTAAAATATTTGCTAGTATTAGCACCGTAGTAGCTGTGGGGCTAAGCGTTCGCTAGAAATTTCGCAATACGTGGGTAACGTGAGTTCGATCATCACTGGCACCCATGGAATTTCCAATGGCAATTTTAAGTGCTGATTTACCACGTGCTCGGCGGTAGAAGAAAAAATTGTAAGGAAACATGCATGTTACAGAAATTTTATGAATGAACCTTGTTAATTACAAAGTGCCTGACATATATAATTTAAAACTAGGTGCACCAGGTGTGCGTTGCAATACCTTATTTGTCAGGAACACTTGCGGGTGTTCGAGTGTTCCTGACTAAATAATTGTAATCGGATGTGTGGTATAACAACGCACACAAAACGAACAAACAAACAAAAAAATAACATTAAATCGTAAGTAGGCACACCGTACCGTGGTCTGACGTTCAGTCACGAATTGAGTCATCATCATCGGTACCCTTTATATATAGTTCCGACTCCGATGAACCTGTAAAAGCCAGCTGGCTAGCACCACTAACATCCCATAATATAGAGAGTTTGTTATTGTTTTTCTTCAACAGCGAAGGTCATGGTAAATCGGTATGTGTGTATCGGTATCGGTATGTACTGGTAAATTGTAATTAACTATTACGTTGGTGATGGCAGGATCGAGCAGTGAATTAGAAATTATTAAACAAAATAGATTACCATTTTGTTTATTAATTTCTAATTCAAAATCCTAATGGATAAACCATCTATTAATTTTGATATTTGAAATGCTAGCAACAGTCTCTAATAGTTCTCACCATAGTCTCTTTTAAAGCTTTTAGACTTAGTGACTTTCAAGAAAAATATCTATTCATTACTAAAAAGTCAGAAACGCTCCCGTAATTCCTCTTCTGTTGCAGATGAGTACAGATACGATTCACTTTCCTCCTTTGCCTCTTCTTCTGTTATAAGTGATTAATTTCTTCTGATTTCAACTACAGCGGCAAGTTTCTCTGACCACTAATGCATTGTTAGCTATATTGAAAGACATTTCGTTTTTTTTTTGAAGGGGTCGTTCAACGATACAAAAAGTTCATGAAAAGGCATTTATAAAACATTATACATACTGCATTAACAACTTAAGTGGTAAGTTGGTTGGTAGTAATTTTACGTGGTAGCTATATTATGGTTGAAGCACGAATGGGTCAGCAAGACCGGGGGTAGGACACCCTCTTATAGAATACCAGCGTTAAATAGCAGCTTACTGCAGTTGTTTTTCGCATGCTGAGTGTAGAGAACCGGAGACACTTTCTACCGGAAACGAGGCATTCCAACTTAGTCCTCAGGGGTGACAACGCATCTGCATTTGGATTCTTAATCGAGGAAAGATTTAGATGTCTATGGGCCACAGTATCCTTCTTTAAACTTGTCATCGGATGGACTGTGTACCGCTTGTCACCCTGACATGACTATAAAATAAAGACTTATGACCACCTTAAAGTGGTTTCGCTGAGTTAAGTTTCCGAATCAATAGTTTTTAATACAAAGGGTTTTTACATGCACTTCGCATATTATAAAACGGCTCGTAACGAACCTTGAATATATGAATTGAACTAAGCCATGCAGTTGTTAACTCTACTATATCAAAACAAAGTTAAATTCTAGACAGTAGACGGGTCCTTTCCTGTCTTCATCCATTTATCCACTTACTTTTTTTTGGGACCCAAACTCTACTCCTAGTTTGATTTAAAGTGAGTTAGTATAATAACGACTGTGGGGCATGGTATCTTATGCTTGTTTAAGAAACAGTTCGTTCTCCATAAATATCAGTTTTATTATAAACTAGCTTTTTACCCTCGGCTTCGCTCGCGTGGGCTTGCATTTAGAAACACCAATTATACTATTTCGTGCTAAAATTAGCAAAAAACTGGATCACTTGTAGAAACACCTCGGTATATGTGTCTATATTGGACATAGGAAATGATTGAAATTTGGCAATATAATATGCTACAGAAACACATAAGTGAGTTTATCAGAATTGCATTAATATCATACGTCTAGCAACTCCTTTTTTTATCGGGCATATCTTCGGATGCGTCTATGAAGGGAAAATTGCCCTGAAATCAGAAATGCGCTATTTACATAATATTCATAATTAAAGCTGATATAATTTTGACAAAATAAAGTTGAATTTCGTGGTGTTTATTAATATTGGCCCCATTGAATATTGATTCGCACCATAAAATACATGCCAGTATTTTTTTACGTTCGAGTAGACTTAAAAATTTGAGAAATCTAGTTCTATTCACCGCTTACGTGTGGTAAGAACTATATTCATGAACGGGAATAGAAACATACAAAAGACAGGCAGTTTCTTCATGATCATAGCTCAAAATAATAAAAATATGCAGTTGACAATTCGCATGCCAAGCGTGGCGACTATGGCAAATATCCAACTTATTTGGCCAATCTATGGGGATAATCCAATTGATAAACTATAGCAGAAATTTATTTGTCATATAGAGGCGGCGTAAGTAATAACCCGCTTGCCAAGCGTGAATACTACTGCAAATATCTGGCCTAATTTATCCTTCTTTTTATTTTATTGTCCTCCACGACTATGACGGGTTGATGCGGTGTTGGTAGGGCTGTGGGCGCAGAGGAGTGTCGGTATTGCGAAGCGCCGTTCTACCTACCCTCCGCAGCCGAATCTTGTGCTTCTCAGGAGCTTTGTGTCTTATCAGGAGGGCTTGTGATTCTGAGTGCTCGTTTTTCTCGTTCTCGTTCTGCGAAAATGGAAGCCGTGGAGGAAGGCGCGCCATGTGATCAGGTGCGCCTTACCTGAGAAGGAGAAGGGGAGGAGTAGGACTCTTCCGAGGAGTGGCCACCATGGGACGGCCAGCGCTGGAAGGGCCGCGGATGTATGCGAAAGCGTCCCCGTGGCCCTGCCAATATGCGACGAAGGTGGGACTCCATGGGGTTTTAGTCGGTGCGAGTCCGACATAACCCGTCCTTGCTCCCGCGAGGTAGGTACGCGTAGGCATTTCCCCATGTAAAAAATGAGCTACCCATCTGTAGGTAGAGTAAAGATTTGGTAAGACATGCAGGAAGCCGATGGATTCAGGTGGCTCAAGGACGTGCTTTGTAGCATTTGGCCTTGGGAGAGGCCTATGTTCAGCAGTGCACTTACGAAGGGCTGTATTGAATGAATTAATGAATTATTACATGGTTTATAATAACCCCTGGGAACGGCTTCCAAGCCGTTTCTTATATGACTGTTGTTAATAATTTTACAATCTATTTTAAATTGTTACAACTTACTGTAAAAAATAAGTCCCACTGGGTTTCTTGCTAGTTCTTCCAAGGTCAGAAGTTTTTTTTCGTATCAGTGGTTAAAGTAAAAAATAACTTTCAGTAACAATTTGTTATAATGTATATTGAAAACAAATCGATTCTACTTTAGTTTATAAAAGGAGCTTGACAAGCACATAAAACATAAAAGGATACTAAGTACATTTAATCCTGGTATACGAGTATATCTATTATAATATGACAAAGTTTAAAAGAAAACAAGAGAAAAATATTACGAAGAAAAAAAAAACAATGTTTAACAAACTTTTTAATAATAACGTTTATATTTTTTATATTATTATTTTTATAAATAATTACATAAATATCACAATAATGTTTTAAACATACACAATTGTTTACTTAATTACATTTGAAATTGATGTTTTATATTTATTGGCCTTGATACGCTTTTTATAATGTATAAAAAAACTAACAATTATTTTTGACTTAAAGTAGAGGCGTCTAATAACCAAATTGTAAGAAAAAAATATTGCTATGAAAAATTACGCAGGAGTATAAATATCCACTTAAAAGTAAGGAAATATATGTACATGCTTAAATTTAAGTCATTTCACGTTAATATAACGTAAACTTATCAATAATTTATTAGGATAAATTAAAAAAAACAATATCATTTCACCTACTTACAAAAGGCTAGTGGAGTTTATATTTAATTCTAGGCTTAATAAATATAGGTAATAATTAAGGGGAAATATAACCTCAAATGGCTTAGCAAGATCCTCCGTTATGCCGAAAGTATTGCAGCATTAATTTTGTAATAAATATATGGTAAAGTTGAGGATTAATGTTAAGGTTTATGTTAGACGAAAACACGATTCCGTAAAATTTTCTCGATAGAAAAAAAATCCAAAGTTACCTCCAAACTGAACAATAAACCGCTGTTATTCATAAAATACTTTAAATAAGATCATGAAACTTTGCATACTAACTGAACTAACCATAAAGCAGTGCTTATGTTATTTACTTTTTTTAAAATATCATTATTTTCACTGTAAAAAAGAAATTACCTAAACTATCGGCGCGTAAGCTTGGTTCCTGTCGCTCCGTTAGTATTGCTCCGGCTTTTGAAGGGAGAAGTTGTGTCGCTTACGATCAGAAAACACATTACGCAACAGGAAGACGTAAAATTAAAATGGGAAATAACCGTTATAAAAATAAGAAGCGACTGGGTTGGCGTTAAGAAACAGGCATATATATGATAAACATAATGAAATAAGTAGGTATGTAACGACATATCTACTTAGAGTATTAGTGATTACAAACATGTCGGTACATAGTATACGACGCGCAGGGAAGTGGGGGCGAAATTAGAATTTGAGCTGACTTACTCTCACCTCTTAATAAGTTTTTGTAAAGCAATCATGAATGCTAAGCAGCTGCTTGCGGATGAACCATCAAGGAAATATTATCATGTTGCGGTAAAGGTGAGTGTTTTTTCTTCGGTTGAATAATATCAGTTCCCCATGTCCACTGCATAACAAAATATATTTGTATTAATAAAACTCTTCATGATAATGCAAAGAAAGTTTTCATAAAAAATCTATATCTTTACTAGCTGACCAGACAGATTTTGTTCTGCCCCTGTCCTTTAAAAAATCCTTAAATTCGCAATAAAAAATATTAAGGACAAACAATGTGACACGTAATATTTATACATAAAAGAGTGGACATCTCCACTTATTTCTCGGGGATAAAAACGAAGTTTGCTTTAAGTTATTTACATAATGTCTCTTTCTTTTTAACTGACTTCAAAAAGAAGGAAGGTACTTAATTCAAATGCATGTTTTTTTTATGTGTGTTACCTCAGAACTTTTCTCTGAGTAAACCGATTTTGATGATTCGGTTTTTTATTTGAAAGTTGCTTCTCGCGTGGTCTTATATAAATTTGATCAGAATCTCAGCAGTAATTTTTTAGTTATCCTTAATAACTTTGAATACCTACATTGATAATGTTCTCATTTTATTTATATTGAAGTCGGTTGTACAACATTTTTAATTTTACCACTTATTTAGAGCCCCAGTACAAATAAGTGGATTCAACGGTAACGAAACCACCTTCTCTCAGTTTACCAGCGTAAAATAGCAACTTAATTCTGCTGTGTTTCTTACGGCCAGTAATGAGAACCAGAAACTTTTTACTGTTAATTCCATCTTGGTCTTCAGAGACGACAACCTATGTACCTGCATTTTATTCTTCATTGATAATTGATATAGGCGTCTATGGCCATATGGACTGTTAAGTCCATTATCGATTTATATCAATAAAAATCTAGTAAAAATCTACCACTGGGCATAGAACTCAAACCTGGGCAGATCTGTTTACCATTTGCAGTATATAATGCAATTACAATTGCATTTAACGATGAGAATAATTTATTAATGATTTCGGAAGAAACGGCTCATAAATACTTATAGTTCCACACACTAACCTGAAAGAATATCACTGTAATCTTTAAGGAGATAGGAAATTAGATAAAGTTAAAATGATACTCTATATACGTCCCTTTGCTGGGTACAGGGACGTGTACTCGCTTATTGAGAGGGATTTTAGGGCAAGGAAGTATCAGCCGCGCTGCCCCAATGTGTGTTGGCGGACTTCACATGTCTTCAATTTTTTTCTCAGACATGCCTCACGATGTTTTCCTTCACCACCCAGCACGTGAGAAATCAACTAAAATTGCAATTAACTATTTCATTGGTGCCGGCGGGAGTCAAACTCGGGTTCCTCGCGTACTGTGAAAATTTACAGCAAACGCTAAGCCTCTGAGCTACCACGGCCACGGAAATAAGCAAGTTGCATTAATTTTATAGTGTGCATAAGGTACCGCGATGTAGAACAGCGTAAGAGGCGACTATAGGGAAAAGATGCCATAGTTTTCGATAGATGGCGATGTAAAAATATTACCGGTGACGGGGAGTAGCGTCAAAAGAATATTATGAGGTACGATTTGAGGTAAATAAAAAAGGTAATAATAATAAAAAAATCCAAGATCTCACCACTAGCACAGCAAACGTAACCCCAAGGGAGTAGCCAGCTAGGACATCGCTCCAGTGGTGTTTGTAGTCGGAAACGCGGGAGAGTGCAGTGAACCAGCTCAGCATCACCGCGCCGAACTGCAAGGAGTGGCGTAGAACTCTAGTTCCTCTCCATACCATGCGCTTTTCGAGGTATAACTGAAAAAGGCGTTTATAACATTAAAGCTGAAATGAGCCAACAGTCTACCTGATGGTGACTTCTATAACTTACGGGCACTTGCAGTTAACGTGACACAAAGTTATAGTATTATAGATGCTTTATCTCTTCTGAGCATTACAGAGGAAATCGTAGTTCGTATCGTATAACTTTTTTTAAATATTTTTTTCATTAATTTGTTCACTAGCCCAACATGTCTAGCAGCAAGATGCTGCTGTACATCTACAATTTCAGCTTCCACCTATCGCCTTCTACGAGACTCACGGCAAAGAATAGGTACTAATTATTACTAACGTAAAGAACGCGCAGTTCGGGGAACAGTAGTGGACTGAGCCAATTCCCACACATTCATTAGAGGCGATACACTTACTTGAGTTCAGAGGTTTTAGGTGGATTTACCATTTGAATTAGGTGGATTCTTTCCGTACCCATAGCCTCGTTCGTCAATCATAAGAGAGCACGGGCAGGTCAAATTCGTATTTGGAAAAAAATTGGCATAGTCCCTAGTACAATTCTTGAGACAATAGCATCTTGTGTGGTAACTCAAACGATATATTAGATGTTAACTTAAAAACACTTTTAATATTATATTTAAGCTGCTGGTTATAATAAAGCGTATTACATGAAAATTAATTAGATTTTACAAAGACTAGATTCAACTTACAGCTAAATAAACCATAGTGTAGGCTGACCACGAAGAATGTCCACTAAGGAAAGACATGTGCATATCCGTGAACATCTCCTGTAAGCTGCCTGTACATGTGTATTCATGTGGCTGAATGTAACGGCCTCGCCAGACCGGCAGGCTGCAGTCTACAGATGGTTGGCACAACTGAAAAGAAAACCTTAATGCTAACTACATGTCTATTTTATTTTTTATCAGCCCGCAAAAGTCCACTCCGAAGTGACTACCACCGCCCATAAACAACTGCATCACAGTGAAATCGCAGGTGCGTTGCGGCCTTTACATAAAGAGTAGGTTCTTTTTTTGAAGGTCCCTAAGTCGTATCGGACCGGAAAAATCGTTGGTAGTAGTTGATTCCACAAGGCAGTTTTGTGAGGAAGAAAACTTATTTTAAATCACACAGTGGTGGACCGTCTATCATCCAGATGGTATGGATGATATTACGAGATATGTCGCGATGTGCGATGATGAAATAGAGCGGCTGGAAATAGTTCGAACAATTCCTTTGAGCACTGCTCGTGGTAGATGCCATAAAATATGCAAAAAGATGGAGCATCTCTTCGCAGCGCCGGTGAGTCAAGCCGATCGAAAGAGTTCGGTCACCGACGATTCGAACCGCTCTGCGCTTGATACGAACAAGTGGAAGGAGCTGGCACTGGACCACTCCGGCCCAGAGATGAGAACACTATTCCATGTGAAGCCGAACTTGCGCCTTGAAAAGTTGTGAGTGGTGTGCCAGTATGAAATACTCTCTCGCTCTACAAACACGCCAAGCTTTTGAGAGACCAATTTGGCTTTTCTTAGAAGTGATCGCGGAACTGAACGTCATTCGAAATGTCGACGCCGAGAATTGCGATGCTAGCTGAAGCAACGAGGGGAGTGAGTGTCTTGAAGCGGTAAACGCGCAAACTTTTGTATTCTGGGGATTGAAATAGACTAGATTTAGTCGCCCCCAATCCGAAACTTAATTCAACAAAGTCTTGACTTCAGACACAGGTTTATTCCGGCGCTCGACAACTTTCATTAACACGGCCTCGCCTCGAATAAGGCATCGCCAGAGTTGTCATTTGCCTAACATTTAATATTTACTCTTTGTAACATATAGTTGATATGCAAAAGGAATACGGTTGGTGATAGCACGCAGCCTAGTGGAATACCAGCATTCACAGGCCTTAAAGCTTGGATCTGGAGGAAACTAGTGATTCCATTGCATAATTTCTCGGGAAAACCTTAGGATGAAAGCTTCGAAAGAAGTACTTTGTGCCAAACCCGATCGAAGGCTTTTGCTGTCTCCAAACCTACCGCCAAGGTCAACCATCTGCGTCCGTCGATGTGTTTGATAAACAAGAAGATCACTAGCTGAGCGAACCCGACGATAACGTTACTGACAATCACTAATCAGCTGGTGCTCCTCAAGATACCCCATGAGCTGGCAGTTAATAATGAACTCCATTACTTTCGAAAATAAGGAGCTGTTGTAATTGGTCAAATCAGAGCGGTTCCATTTTTAGGGTCTCCCATGAATCGCAGCACAATTATGGAGATTCCGTCAGGTCCACTCTACTTGTAGATGTCCAGGGAGAGGAGTAATTTGCGTAGTGAGCACTGTGTAAATCGCACGTCAAGCATAGAGTACTCCGCGAGGTGGTCGACGGTGTGTTCCCACTGCCAACGAGAGCTGAGTTGGACGCAAAAAGGGTACCTAAAAGGTTGGCTATCTATTTTGTGGCGTGGGCCAGTGAGTCATCCTCCCTGTGCATAGATGGAATGGAATGAACGGATGGAAGCCAGCACAGCTTACACAAATTCCCTTGGACAGCCTTGGTGAGAGACCAGAATTCCCGAAGGAAGGCGAACTCATTTCTCGCCATTTCTGCCAATGTGCTCATACTTTGCCTTGGCAATAACTCTTTTGTAGAACCTGGAGGCGGAGTTATATTTTTTTTAAGAATGCTGGTGTTAAAATCCCGAGCCGTCAAATCGTCAGGCCAGGTCTGAACAAATCGATGCTTACTGCGTAATGCAGTATTACAGGAGCGACAAAACCAAGGCTGAGATCTGCCTTCGATTGCTACCACAGACGATGGGATAAAAAAATCTATTTCCTGAAAAACCACATCCGTAACAGAATCAGCAACAATGCTTGGATCATTCGGCGAGAAGCAAGCCCGCCTCCATGGATTAAAAGACCACATTCCGTCTCAATCCACTGACCTGTAATGACAAACACGGCGGTAGGGTGCAGAGCGCAACCGCGAAGGGAGCGTAAGTGACACCGCACTGCGGATCAGACAATTGTCCGAAGAGTCGAGAGAGGCGTCTATTGTAATCTGATATCCGTTTGGATGAGAGTTCAGCAGAAGGTCCAACAGGAAAGGCCCATGATCCTCCATGCTTAGAATCCGCTTAGTCGAAGTAACCAGTTGTGTAAGATCATATGTGAAAGCAATGTCATAAACAGATCTTCCCGATGATCGCTTAAACATGAACCAAGCCATTCGGTGTGGTGGGTGTTAAAATCTCCTAAAATCACGATACCTGTGGATGGGATCTGTTATAGCAAGGAATCTGTAGCTATTTAGATTTGGTACGATGAATCGGCTTGTGTCGGCAGTATCACTATGGATCCCATAGAGGCACCTGTAAACACCAAGATGGTCGTTGCTGTCTACGCGTGGCCAAATAATGGACATGTCGGTACCTTCAAGACTGCTGAGGCATCGAGTACAGATATCACAGAGAAGTGTTCTAATATTTACACCGGGTAGGAGAGGTACGAAGTATCACGGCGAGGACATCTGCGTCTCGGCCAAAAAGAGCAAGGTCGGCTTTGCCGTATTCAGATGGTAGTGGGTATTTCATTAAGGTTGGTTAAGGTTCGAGTGAAGACCTTTTCTTGCAGAAATAAGCGGCTAGCGTGGCAGAGGTCACCATGGCTTCATTGCCCTGTAGGCCCCGTGCAGTGTTAGTAGCGAGCGGTATTTTTCCGACCTCCCCCCAGAATACGCGGGGCTACCTGAGCACCCACGCTCAGGAAGAAAAGGGTTTAAGCGTGGATGCTCAGTGAGGGATTCTCCATTACCAGGGGTGGTGCTATCCTTCTGAGATAGTCTTTTATATTCACCTCCGGCGACCTGCACAAAGCGAAACGCAGAAGCAAAGCTTCTACTTCACGCTGGTATTCTGTGAGATACTTCCGTGGTAATTTTAATTAGAAGACGAGTCGAACTGAAATATCAATAACATAAAATATCTACAGCTAATAATAAATCAATTTGTTGCCACAAGGAAGCAAAACAATGATACAGTGCTTGATAACTATGTATCCTATTATATTTTGATCTATACCTACTTCTCTCTTTTCTCATCCATCTAAATCTACACTTTTTGGCGTGGTGCGAATAGCTCGATGCTCTCTAGACTCTGCCTACCTTGTCGGATACTATTATTCTATGTATATTTTATTAATGACGGCAGTAATTTAAGTACCAATTTTATTTATATAATAAAATTGACAATCGGGCACACAGTCTACCTGATGTTAAGTAGATGCTGTGGTCTATAGACTTCTATACATATCCTTGAACAAGAATCAAAACGCAGATACATTAAGTAAAAAGGGCCTCCGGTTCTCACATCACGGTTCTCCATACGAAGCCGCAGTATATTGCGCTAAGATATTTCTTAACGTTTGCGCTAGTTATTCTGTGTTATCATCATAATATAATTGCTCTTATACGTAAAGGTCAGTATATATAAGGAAATTATCCCTATGTAATGATAGTGTGTAGCCAGGAGGAAATACAAGAGTGATAAATATTTTAATTTCGATAAGGATGATGTACCTACATTTATCTTAAATAGGGCAGTAATGTTATCAATAAAATAGATACAATTACATAGATATATTGTTTTTATTTCTACATTTTTATTACTGGCTTAGTTTGAAGCCGATAATTTCTTTGAGATTTGAAGTTTCTCCCGCAATTTGTCTTTAAGTTCGTTTTGGTCTCGATAACAGTGCTCATCAATCCATTACAGTCTTTGAAAGATCACTACTGTATGTAGGTCTTCCCCATAGATTGATTTGAAGTTTCTCCCGCATTTTGTCTTTAAGTTCGTTTTGGTCTCGATAACAGTGCTCATCAATCCATTACAGTCTTTGAAAGATCACTACTGTATGTAGGTCTTCCCCATAGGTTGATTTGAAGTTTCTCCCGCATTTTGTCTTTAAGTTCGTTTTGGTCTCGATAACAGTGCTCATCAATCCATTACAGTCTTTGAAAGATCACTACTGTATGTAGGTCTTCCCCATAGATTGATTTGAAGTTTCTCCCGCAATTTGTCTTTAAGTTCGTTTTGGTCTCGATAACAGTGTTCATCAATCCATTACAGTCTTTGAAAGTTCACTACTGTATGTAGGTCTTCGCCATAGATTGATTTTGCCATAGTTATGATTGTGTAGATTATATTTCTATACAGAGGCGTGCTGGCAAACGCAGATTTTTATTATTTTGAATTATCGGGAAGATGCCGCTGCCCATTTTCTAGTTCAGTTTCCCTCCGTCGTATCTTACGAAACCCCTGGTACATTATTACACCGCCATTACAAAATTAAGTGTCTGTGTAAAAATCTGATGTTAAGTAGTTGCTTATTAGATCAGACTACTTTCATATATCTCGGCACAGGAAATAATTGATCAAGTGCCATTGAGTCCAGCCATTACCCAGTCCCTTGCGATTAAATAGTTAGGAATACAAATGTTAGTTTTATTATACGAACAATTTTTTTTTAGAAGAAGAAGGGTGACAAACGATCGCACAGTCCACCTGGTGGTAAGTGGTTGCTGTGGCTCGTAGACATCTACATCTATCCTCGATTACGAATCAAAATGCAAATGCGTTGTCACCCGTCAGGACTAAGATGGAATGCGTCGTCTCCAGTACAAAATGGTCTCCGTATCTCTTCACTCATCATACGAAACACAGCAGTCTTAAGCTACTATTTTACGCTGGTATTCTGTGAGAGCGTGGTCCTTCCCCGGTCGAGCCGACCCATTCGTGCCACAACGATCCTACTAATATATCTGCAGCATGGCTCTACCACGTATATATTATAAGGATGAACATTAAGGTTTTCTTTTTTTTAAATTAAAATAAGAATATTACTAACGCTAAACCGCTACAGTTACAGCATACCAAAAGTCCACTGATGAGCATATTGTGCCCCCATAGATCTGCGAGGCATATTTGCTATAGTTGCCACGCTTTGTGCGCGGGTTGGCAACAACTTTTTTTAACTTTTTGGTTGTTATTAAGCATGTCTCTCCATCTGGTTTTTTCCCCTCTGTCGCTTCTTACGATACGTGTGGGACACTATGAGGCAGTGGATATTATTTCAGAGCATTAACGCATTAGTTTTAATTCATTACTAATATTTCTGTTAACAACTTAAAATGTTGTTTGGACTGAAGGCAGTAAACGGTTATCTCACGGCGGTTCCGGATCAACGACTTTAAATTTGCAATTTGTCCTTTTAACAAATAAGTTACTTTTGCTTCATATTACCACAGTATAATAAAGAATATTAATATAGATATATTCATTACATATTATTTTTTATCAGCCCTTTTATATTCACTAATACATAGACTTTTGGGACGATCGCAGTAGGTCGACGGTCTGTATGTTTACGTAAACAAAATGGTTATACCGCCATCTATCGGAAGCAATAAGATTTTTCTGTCATTGTCTATAGTCGCCTCTTACGAGAACCACCCGCGGAATGGGGTGACGGATTCCATTATACCGTCACCGTACAGTGCACATCTATTTGTTAATACGACTAAATAAAAACTCAGATCTGATATAATATTGCTTTGCGGTTAAAGTAAGGAAGTCTAACATACACCGCATCATTTAAAACCGCAGAATATTATATTTGAAGTATTTGTACAGAGATTAGAATTATTAATTACATAAGTTCCATCTAAATAAAGACCATAGCTTGACATAACCTTCTAGGTTGGAAAGATTTTTTATAGCAGTAAAGTGGAAAACGAACACATAGTCAACCTAATGGTTAGTGGATGCTGTAGGTCATACAGACATCTACTCACGATTAAGTATCAAAATGCAAGAGCGTCGTTGATTCTGAGGATTAAGGTGGAATGCTTCGTTATCAATGACAGATTCTCCGGTTCTCGTCAGTCAACATACGAAACAGCATTGTGCTGCTATTCACAATGGAATTCTGTGCTAGCGTAATTCTTCCCTGATCAAGTATACATTCTTCTACAGACTTCAGCGTAGTTCTACTAATATAGTATTGTAGTATAGTATCATTGAAAATCTATTAAATACTTACGTCAAAAAAGTGTGGTCTGGGTCTTCCTATAACAATTTTCGTGATATTCGTGGTGAGTTCTACAAAGCAGGTGCCTAAAGCGAAGGATGCCAGCGCGCAGTAGAAGCCACGCAACCAAACTGGGATCAGTATATTCAGATAACGCTGTTCCTCGTTCTCTTTCCGGAGCAGAGCCCATTCGCAAATCAAGAACTGTTGGTGACAAATAAATATTTATAGTTCACTTGAATAGAAAATTAGATTGCTTGAAATTTCAGGAAGAAAAACATTGTTGTGTTGTGTTGCTATTATCACTAGTTATAAATATGTGTATTAGAAAAAACATGGCTATATTTAATAATATATTCAACATAGAATAACGTTAACTATTGATTTTCAGTTAAGGTATTTTTAATTAAAATAAATATATATTAACTTAGCCGCACGCTGTTGTTCACACGCTCATAGTATGTTAGCAGTTTTATGTGCTGAATTATCACGTTCTCCGCGGTGAAGTAAAATATCGCGAGGAAACTTGCTAAGGAATAAAATATGTAGAAGATATGTAATCCAGCAAACCATCAAAGAATCCATCGCAGCGGGACTTATTCCACTTCATAACCCTCTCATTTCTGAGAGAACGCCTGTGCCCGACAATAATAATTATGTTGAATAAAACCATTTATACGGATTTCAACGCGTTTAATTTATTTATTTTTAATCCCCGACGTTTCGCGTGCTTTACAACACCCATGGTCACGGGGAGAGTGAGGTGTTTGACGTCCCAATGTCATAGTTAGCCCCGTTACTTTCAGTTTTTGTATATTAATTTTTAGTCCGATCTACGCAGAACGAGCTTACAGAAGTCTTGCAGTGGTATGCTTGGGTTTGGATTTAATTTTGTTAATTATAGGATCTTAAGCAAGATCACAGCACCCATACATCTTCTCTATTGAAATTATAATGTTTCTTTTTATTTCAATAGCTTCACGTATCATCCTTGGTAGGACTCAGTGTACTTTTGCGAGGGTTTGTGGTTTGTCAAATCTGATGTAACATTGGGGACGATCTTGAATATATTCACAGACTGCAGCCTTCCCCGCGTGAAGGAACAAATAGCGGACGTGAAGCGTCGGTGCTTCACTTCCTGTACTCCACACCGAATTTTGGTCGCGAAGGCCAGTCTAAAGAAGCAAGAGAATGTACTGGTGCACTCTTTATTCCCTCATTCTTATCCCGCAGCTTGCTTGCGCATACACTCGGTAACAATAATCCTGTCCTGCCAATATAGCCAGCCTCCGTTGCATTCCACCGTCGTGGCTGAAGTTAGACCAGGTTACTGCGGCGAAATTCAGGAGGAGGATTTTTTATTCTATTAATAAATTCGACATTATTGTCCTGAAGAATCGGAGATTTTAAATTTGGAATATGAAAGATTTTTTTTCTTAAACGTTAAACTTACTGTTAATACAGGTAGTCCTAAACCGACCACTCTGAGCATAGTAGAGGAAACCGTGTCATCCTTGTAGGGGAACATGAGGCTTTCATCGCCGCAGAAGAACCCTCGTTCGAACGGCACCCATAAGTAAGGAGTTGCATAAATACAGAACAACACTGAAAGAAAAAAACAGAGATTCATAAATTCGTTCTTCTGAATGTGATACTACCCAATCTTGTTTCATTTCGAATAGATAACCGTAACATGTTTTTAATTCTCTACAAGCAAATAATGACGGCTACGTGGCACAATGGTTTATCAATTGGTTATAACACTGGGGATAGAGGGTTCGAATCTTGCATTAAACAAATAGTTTTATGGCCCACAAATAATGATTATTCGGGGTATGGATATTTGTCCTTGTTCACGATACAGGAGATAATACTAGTGTGGGGTAACGTTAAAACGAAATAAAAACCTTTATCACACTTATTAAGTATAGAGAATGTTTAAACCCATAGACATGATTATTGTAAACGAGCTATTTATTCTTATTCTAGTACTTTATTTTCGGTACGTGGTAGAGTTAAACTGCAGTTGTACTAATCACTAGGATTACCAACTTTTTTATGTCACATACAGTAATTTCGGGGCTGTAGCTATAAAAGAGTAGATGGCAAAAACATAAAAGATGTGTAGTGTGTTTTGAATTAATTTTTTAAAACAGCCTAATTCACCCTTAGCCTTTATTATTTACCCTTAGCTTTATTTTTTTAGAATTAATCGTTTAGTATATAGCACTCGTAACTTATATGTAGTAGGATGCTATAGTATTATAAAGTGGGTTCGGCAACCCTAACATGCTGACTGCAGGATGGTGTGCTCCTTGCCTCATATTAAGAATTAATGTGGTCATATCATCATATGACCACATTAATTCTTAATCGAGGTTAGATGGAGATAACTAAAAGCTACATACAGCATTCACTTACTGGTACTAATAGGTAGATTTTGTGTTCGCTTAGCATTAATTCCATGTACAAGAAAAAACTTCAATCCCGTAACAGTTCACTGCTAAACGTAAGCCCTTCCCATTGTCTCCATTTATTTTATTTCACATCGCTGCGCTTAAGAATAGGTCAAAATATCTTATAGTGAGTCAAATTTAAGCAAATCTTTCCTGTAGTGGGTAACCCACGTTCAACAAGTCCAAAGTCAATCAATAAATAAATTTTGACTGTAAACCCTTGTGAGTTTTTTTTCTTACATGTTCATTGCATTATCACAAAGTATTTAAATATGTTATTTTCAACGGTGTGAGTAGACCGAAAATTTGTTTTTATATTCTATTATATTTTAACTGTTGATTATGATTTATTGAAACTATAAATAAATGTCGTGTTATATTTTAAAAATACTCGAACGTTCTCAGTACCTAAGTTACACTTAGTTTTTTTTTTGTTGGCGAACGTGTTTTACGAGTGACTAGGTCGAGAAAGTTGTAAGTCACTAATTGTGTCAATTTTCTTCGATTTGATTTAAATGATTTAAAATTTATTTAAGGATTATCAAAGTAAAATGAATACACGTTTTCCTTTTAATCGTACTCGTACGTTACGTTTTTAAAAACGTTCAGTTATAAGAATTACATATTTGAGCTTTTCGTAAATTTGTACATGAATGCATTTGATGACATTTATTTAATATTATTTAAGCATTTGCCACTTATTTACTTAAACTGCTTTCATAAATTATTTTACAGAACTATGGAATAAAATCTAAAACTCAGTATATAACTTTACTTTTCCCATTTCCCCTTTTAGTATTTTATTATTATAGTTTTTTTTTAATGTTTTGAAAGTTTTCCCTTGAACAATATTAATTTATTTTACATTCTTAGTTTGATCACAAATAATTAATACATTAAATTTACTTACATCCGCAGAATAAAAAGGCGTCGACAACGATCTTCCGCAGGGCAAACATAGTAGCTTCTTCCCGGGACATCGCGTGTGCGTCTGGTACAGAGTCGTGGTATAAAGTGCGACTTGCTTTCTTGTCGATAGCCTTATATATTATTACCTATCAGACAAGCTCATCAGATAAGCTGGAGCTTAAAATGCCATGATTTTCTTACTGCAATTAGTCATCTCTTGAAACTGGCAGGAGAAGATAACGAAATAAAAAAGTTATTTGCACTATAACATTGCCAATGTCACCCTTTTGTTTTTGTTTATTCCATTGGTCTTTAGATAATTGTGTATACGGAAACTTAACTTTAAAGATAAACTAATCATAGCATTTTATTGCATATAATTTTAATTAACATATATTTTAACAAAAACTATATTTAAACTACTAATAATTATATTAATATAAAGTACCTGAATGACCGAGCTTTGCACGGTATTTTTTTTGGAAATCGTGTTTTTTGGAAATTATATTTAGATACAAATTACATACTGATGAAATATGAATAATATATTTTTCGATCTTACCGACATAATAAAAATACTCAACTGTTTATCTAAATAAAAAATCATGAGAGCAATTAGTTTCATTTAATTATTTGTATTTTTTAAAAAATACTAAACAAAGGAAAAAATTGTACCGAAGACATCTTGACTCGAACCGGGTTACCTCGATTTCGGGATCGCCCGATGTCCTATTTGAGCTATTATTATTTGTAAGGCGCTAGAAAAATTTACCTTCGTATTCTAATGATATTGTAGCAGTTTTTTATTGACACACACACACACACACACACACACACACACACACACACACACACACACACACACACACACACACACACACACACACACACACACACACACACACACACACACACACACACACACACACACACACACAGCACCACACACCCACACACACACACACACACACATACACACACACACACACATACACATACACACACACACACACACACATGCTCACGCTCACGCACACGCACTCGTCTACGCACACACACACGCACTCGCACACGCACACGTAGCACACGCACGCGTACATGCACACGCACACGCACGCACCCCCACAGGCGCGCAAGCGCACACACACACACACACACACACACACACACACACACACACACAAACACACACACACACACACAGATCTACATACACACAACAAGTAAAATTATTTACCATTACGTGTAATCGCTGCTGTTAAGGGGAATTAGTTCCGTTATGCCGAAGATATTGCAGCATTAATTTTGAAATAAACATATGGTAAAGTTGAGGATTGATGTTAAGTACTATGTTAGGCGAAAACACGAATCCGTAAAATTTTCTCTTTAGAAATAAAGTCCAAAATTACCTCCAAACTGAAAAATAAACCGCTGGTATTCATAAAATAATTTAAATTAGATCATGAAACTTTGCATACTAACTGAACTAACTAAAAAGCAGGGCTTATGTTTTTTATTTTTTATATTACCATTATTTTCACTGTAAAGGGAAATCACCTAAACTATCGGCGTCTTGTAATGGTGGTTAATATAGCACGTAGCGCTATATTATAGCACGTTATCATATGAGATGAGGGTTTAGGGCAAGGAATAGTCCGCCGCGCTGGCCAAATGCGTGTTGGCGAACTTCACATGTCATAGAAATAATTTTTTTCTCATTTCTTACACATGCAGGTTACCTCACGATGTTTCTTACGCCGCTGATGACGTGTTAAATCAGCACTTAAAATTGCAGTATACAATTTCATTCAATTAGCTATTTATGACACCTAAAAGTGACAGACACACGGCCAATAATAATAAGGAAAAGTTGGATTTAATTTAGCTCCTTATTTAATTATAAGTTATTTTGCCTGTATTATTAATGCTATTTCATATTAATAACTAAAGTAACTAACTATTTATACTTTTTATGTTTGATCTGGTCGAAAGTTTGTTTAGTCTCTTGATGGTTAGTTATGATTGCGAAGAAATACTCGCATGTTGAGTTTAGCCCTAAAATCAAAAAACAGAGTCTATTGTTTAAATATTGAGAAATAAAAAAATACGTTCGTAAGAAAATATATTATCGCCCTATAGTGTGGACGTCTAAAAATCCGCAATTCCATTGAATAAAATATGCGGATGTTATCGCGTGTGACTAACTTATCTTTAATTCCCGGGTTTCGTGGTCCCATGGTCCCCCCCGTGACCTTGGATACTCTAAAGCACCCGTGGTCACGGGTAAGTCGTTATTCACTATTCCATTCATCCCGTGGGTGATGTAAGAGGTGACAGAGAAAAATTAAGCGGGAAATTTACAGCAGGAGGATCTTTATGATGAACATATTGAAATATTAAAAAACCCGTAACATCATTGCATCAGATAACCTAATCTAGTCCAGTTTAACCCCCAGAGACACAAGTTTGCGCGTTAACCGCTAAAAAGAACCCCTTTGTCGTATCTCCTCAGTTTCAAGGCACTCCCCTTGTTGCCTCAGCCAGTATCGGAATCCTCGGCGTCGACATATCGAGTGGCGTGCAGTTTCGTGGTCAGCAGAGCGGGACAGTATTTCATGCCGGCACACCGCCTGCAACTTTACAAGGCGAGGGTTCAGCCGCACATGGAATACTGTTCCCATCTCCGGGCTGGGGCTCCCCAGTAACAGCTCTCCACTAACGTCCCGATACCATTCACACCATATGGATGCTTGGCGGTCCACCAATGTACGTTTCGAAAAGGAGTTTTCTTCCGCGTACAACCTCTCTGTGGGGTCAACAGTTTACCACCGGCGATTTTTCCGGACCGATACGACCTGGGGATCTTCAAGGAAAGAGCTTACTCCTTTCTAAAGGGCCAGCAACGCACCTGCAATTCCTCTGGTGTTGCGGTTGATCATTGGAGGCGGTAGTCACTTAACATCAGGTGAGCCGCATGCTCGTTTGCTCCCTCTTCTATAAAAAAAACTGAGGTTGCCATCCGCCTGTAATGCGTGGGAGCTGTGTAAGAGGGTCCCTTATGAAGCAATCTGTGAGGAAGGCCTGTGTATAGCAGTGAACTTTTATTTTATTTATTTTTACAAAATATAGTTATTAAATAACATCCGAGTGCAAATAAACTTACAAAAGTTGTTCCATGTACCGCTGATTCGTAACTTCGACCATGTTCAATCGGTTCACGTGGCGACAATTTACTTAATAATTTACACATACCTACATGATGTGACAAAATAGCAATTTATTTTAACTAGATGTGTACCACAGCAAAGCATAGTTAGTGAGTATGATAAACAATATTAGCAATAGAGATAATAATGTTACGATTATGTTTATCTATGTACATATTTATTTATAGATTTGTATTTTTATATATTTCGTCTGTTAGTAGATGTAGTTTTTAGTAGATATAAATTATTAGTAGGTATCGTTAACAATTTGTCTATAAAATACTGTTTAAGCTTGTATTTAATATTTTTTATGGTTTGTCCATTTTTACTGGTTTTGGAATTTGGTTCAAAAGAGCGGTAACTTGATATTGTAACCTAAATTTTCCATACATATTTATTTATTTTAGTACAGTCATATATGGATTGGCTAGTCGTGTAAGCTTTGTACGATAGCGATTGTAGATACGATACAAAGAGATTTAAATATATATACTACTTATTTAAATGTCTTTGAAACGATACGAAGCATTGCTTGATACGGCTAATTTTTAATTCTTCCTTGCTATAATTTTCAAGCAGTAGTTGGTATTTCACTTTGTCGTGTACTGGTAGTATTTTTGAAATGATGAAAAATTCCATAAGGATTTTTTTTATATTTATCTTTAATTTTGAGAGGGGTAATACATATAAAGATGGGCAATTGTAGCTCGTATATTTTTTCAAGGTGGGTTTTATATGTGCTTCCATAACTGCTTACCCCATACAAAACTATTGATTCGCCGAGTGCTTTATAAAGTACAGTAGCATCTGGTAAGGCAATTTATTCTTGATGAGCCAAAAATTTTTTTAGGATTGCTCGTAGCTTATCACACACAGATTCTATGTGATCAGTCCATTTCATACGGTCAATGATTATTAAATCTAAATACCTACATTTTTCTACCACTTCAATATGGGGACATTCACACTTGTTATTTCTTTACAACGAAAACATATTATTAAATGACCCTTTGTTAGCTAGAGTAAGACTTTCTAAAATTATACAGGAAACGAAGCACTCCATCTCAGTCCTCAGTTGTAACAACACAACTTCATTTTGATGTTGAATTGAAGATAAATGTAGATACCTATTGGCCACGGCATCCATTTACCATCAGGCGAACTGTGTGCTCGTTTGTCATCCTTATTTTGTAAAAATAAAAGGAATTCGAAAAAGTTTGACATTGGTATAACATTGGACAGTGGCAGATTGTTGTTATAGATTATCTTTTGCTAATGTAAGTATATCAAGTATCAACAAATTTTTTTATTTCTATTTGTCAAATAAGATATTTCACAAATATTTATAATATTATTAATCATTTTTATGTTTGTCGCTTATCGTGAATTACAGTATATTTTAGAGAATTCTTTTATCACTCGGAACGAATTAATCGTATTGCGTCAAGCAAACCCACTATATGATTAGCCCCGAATTTCGTTATAGATTTTAGTCATTAATTAAATATACATTTTAAAGTGTCTATTATTATGATATTATCATAATGTTTAAAAATGTTTACGTAAGTATAAATATAAGAAGAGAGGCGTGTGAAATTTTCAAAACGGACAATAATGTTTTTATAGAAGCAAAAGTGAATTTGTCTTTTTGTTGGTTTGTGTTGATTTACGCATATAGGTTCATACAACTGAAATAGATGACTTAGGAATATGCAGTCCAACTGATGGTAATAGTGTAAAAGCTGTGGCCCATAGATACTGAAATAAAGAATCAAAATCTTTTTTATAAGAATTCTTAAAAATAAGGAATCAAAACATTGAAGTAATATGTACTTACGTACTAGAACAGCTATCTCAAACAAAGA